CCTCGTGTTCTTCTTCCGGGCCCGCCTGTAGCTTCGGCACTAATATCTCGAGCACAGTCCCTTGCCCGTCGAAATACGCTTCAATCTCCCCATTCTCCGGAATTCGAGTCGGCAGCTGAATCTCTCTCACAAACTCGCCAGGCGGGCAGTGCTCCGAATCCCGATCCGCTAACCTAAAAGTCCTGTTCTGCCTCTTTATAACCGGCGCCCGTGAAGTGCTCGTGCAGCAAATCTTGATTATCCCGTTCGAAATCGTGTTCCTCCACGACACTCTCACCCTCCCTCGATCCACAAACGGGAGGCTCACCAAAATCAAATAACCCTTTTCATCCTCGTAAGTCGTCTTGCCAGCTGTCACGGGCCCACACGCGCTCCTCATCACCCCACTCGACTGAGCCAGCCACCGGGGTGTTTCCGGGTCGTGGTGGCCATTTACGATAACGCCCCCCAAGAAACAATCCTCATCACTCACCGAATCCTTCTTCCTTTTGTTTCCTTCGGGCGAACGATCTTTCTTGGCTTGACAAAGCGAATTGTTGTGATTATGTTCGAAATCGGCATTATTCGACATAATATTCCTCCACGACCCGTAACCGCTGGCCTCGGGAGGGACCGTGAAATTAATATCTCGCCCCGTTAACTCAACCCATCTCCTCCGATCATCTTCGTCGAGATTCGTTAAGCTCGGGGAAGGGGATAACTCGACCCCGTGTACGCATTGAGGGTTCGAGAGGCCTCGATAGTGTTTTCTCTGCATACGGTGAGATCTCACGAAACCCTTTTCGGCACTAAACGGGAAAGGGCGTTCGCCTTGACGAGAATGCCCGTTCATGTAGCTCCTCAACTGCATTTTCCCGAGGGCATTTTCGGGTTTTTCCTTAAAAGCCCACATGTACATGTTCTCCATGTCGTGTTGGACCATGAAATTGTCGAGCTGGAGGTCTGATTTTTCGAACCCGGAAAGCCCGTTTCCGTCACGCACGATCTTGGCCTTGGATTTTTCGTTGAGGACGGGCTTGAAGTAGAAGCTGAAGAAAAACCAGGCACCCCATATGGTGTCGACCCTTTTCCCGCATTTTTTGCCGGGCTTTGTTGGGAGGACGAGGAAAGTGTCGGGCCCGTAGAGTTGGGCTGGGCCCAGACCAACGTCGAGGATGTCGGGTGGTGGGTGGGCCCAGAGATGAGGAGGTGGCGGGCTCGATAGGGGTAAATTGATGTCGGGCGGACGAGTTAGGATAATATGGTGGGTCATTTCGAGGTCCAGCTCGTCGTGAGATGATGAGGCACTCGAGTCCATGGATAAGAGAGTCGAGGGGTGGTGATGGTTCTCGATCGACAAAGCTGTCAGGAGACCATCTCCCATCTTGAAAAATGTTTTTTTTTTCTCTTTTTCTTTCCCTCTAAAGTTGATTTTATGATGTGGGCTTGACTAATTTTTTGCCTTAAAAATGTCTACTTTTTTTTTTGGTGTAAAAATGCAAACTTTTTTTCTTCTAAAACAGTTTTATGATGTCAATCCCAGCTACAAACTCCACATCCAGCAAAGCCCTAAATCTATTCATTTTTTTTTATAGATCCACAAAACCAGATGAAAGGGAGGAGACACTCATAAACCCAATTTCACTCCCGACTCCCCCCCAGAAATCAGTTAACAGGAAAATAGTTCAAAAGTAAGATAAAACTATATTTCAACCAAAGCTAGATGAAGACTGGGTCTAATCCCAAACCATGAATCTCAATAAACCCTTCAAAAACAGGAGGGAGATGTTGAATCATACCCATCAAAACCATAAACCCTTTCACTGAATGATTGAATCTTGTATTTTTCTGTGACAATAAACCCCAATATTTCTAAAAAGAACCTCCCAAAAATCCCCCCTTTTCCCAAATTCTTATCTAAATATGTGTGGTTCACAAATAACCTAAACCAAATACAGAAAATTACCAATCTATGAAGCCAAGACCCAAGAAAAGCACCAAATCAGATGGGATCTTGGAAGAATACCTTTTGGGATAAGCCTCCACAACCAAGAATCCACAGAAAAATGGGCACTCTGAAGAATCAACAGACTTCATAATCTTCATTCTTTCCCCTTTTTTTTTCTCTTATAGCTTGCGCAAGGTCTAAAACCCCCTAAACAGAATCAAGATCCAATTTTCCTCTTCTTTTCCTATAAAACTACAAAAGCCTTCAAACACTGCAATTTTTTTCTACTCAAATGATTCATATCAGATGCTCTGTTTTGCTGGGTACGGGGCTGTGTATAGATAGTGAGACTTTTGAGGAGAGCGCGTATATTAATTTCAGTTTTTTTTTTTTGTTTTTTTTTGTTTTTTCGTTTTTCTTCTAATCTGTGAGTAATTCTTGTTTTGTTTTGGAAAAGTAGAAAATGTTATCGAGGGTTTATAGGGAGAGATTTATAGAGGCGATGGGTGGAATGCTTGGGTAAAAAAGAGAAATGTTATAAAAGTGTGCAATAGAATGATGGTGGGCTCTTAAAAGGTGACAACTACAGTACAGTTTGGACTTTT